GCTTCGGGCTTATGATTGAGACCTTTCTGGATATTTTTTTTCGATTTTGACCCTAGGACTCCCAAGTTTGCCCTACTGTAATAACCTAGGTTAAAAAGATTTTCACGAATAGTTCTGGAAGCAATATTAAGGTTTGAATATGCTTGGTTAAGTGTAAAAGCAATTTCCTTACTAGTTGCACATTTTCTTGTGCTAGCTAATTTTCTAAGATGAATTCGTTTTTTTGGAGACAAAAGTTTTGGCCTTCTTGAACGCGATTTTGGTTTAATAATGCCAAAATTTTTAAGTTTTTGGATATAAGTGTATAATGTGGATTTCAGAATATGTGTTATTTTATGTAATTCATTAATATCATGGACTTCATTTGTCCACAAATTGTTTATAAAGGACTGTTTTTCGTTTAAAGTTAATTTTTTCGGCATGACAAAAAAAAGATGGATAAAAAAATTTTTTTTTGTCGATCTTATGATTATTTGTTTATTTATATTATATATCACGTGTTGATTTAAATATTTATGTAAAAAAAACAAAAATAATTATTAAAAAGAAAGTGATAAGTAATGTTGATCAAGTCATATGATATTATTATTATTTTCTACTACTACTGTAAATTGAATATTGGTAATAATGTATAATAATCATTTGACTTTGAAGAGTTCTTTACATGATTTTCATATTATCATTATTTAATATTATCCTAAAAGAAAGTGTTTATTTATATTTTGAATTTAACTTTTGTCAATTTAATAGCATCAATTATTTTTATAGTTCTGACAGTATTATTAAAATCTAATAAATTTGCTCGCAAACTTACAGTATATATGACAGTATTTGTAATTTTTTTAATTAATATTATTATAATATTCAACTAATTTTAAATATTTGAAATTAATGATTAAAGATATAAAGTTGATACAAAAATTTTTTAAAGGCAAATTTATCCTAAACTCCAGATTTAGGTTATTATCTTAGATTACATATATAAATAATTTTTTTAAAAATACTTATCATGTGATATATACTCTTATCATAACTTCTTCAGTATAACTACCAAAAAAATTACTAGTACGTGATCAATTTAATCGATCATATTAAAAATAGTTAGATTAACTTTAACGAAAATTGATTTTTAAAATAAAATTTAATATAAACATTTTTCAGCATTTAAAATTTTACTATTTATAAGAATTATTACATGCTCTACAATTTTGCTTAGAGATAAAAAGAAGGTTTCAAACGCTTTTTTTGATTTTTATATTTTATTTTATAAAGGTATAAAAGATAACATCACTGAAAAAATAGTATATATAATTACTATTTTCTTATTAAGTAAACTTGTAAAGAAGGCAAAATTACATATAGGATTCAATTTTGGAATTTATTTAAAAAAATAAAAATTTTTGTCAAGCTTGATGGTCTATTTTGGAAATGATCAGCAGAAATTGATCACGTGCCGGTAATTTTTTGGTGGAAATCTGTCTAGAATAAGAGCTTGAACCTGGGATTTTTTTAAACTTAAAGTCACGTGCAAGTATTTTCGTTTTAGCTATTTTATCACGTGATAAGTACCCAAAACAATTACGTTGTTATGTGATTGCTATATGACTTTATTATAAATAAATACTTAATGATAACGCTTATTGCAGTACAAAAAATTTTCTTTCGTTGAGACTAAAGTAATTACAGTAAGATTTCTGAATACATGGCATTTTTCTTTCTTTTTTTCTTTAATTTTTTCCCAAAATATTGCTGTAATGTTGCTATATAGATATTGTCCGCTCTTAGAATTAAAGTGACGCTAATGTTTTTTCGTGATTATTATTTCTTTGACAAAGAAATCTAATTATTAATTTCCTGAACAGGATGTTCTTGGATTTCGAAGTATCTTAAACCTGAAGAAATACCATTTTTAGAATTGAACTTCAATTCCATTGCTAGCGGTCGTGATTCTTGGTTGAAGTACGATTTCATAGAAAGTGATCTTGGCCCCGAATCTATTGATCCCATCAAGTTGTAATGATCCTTGATAGAAGTCCAATCTCGTGTGATCCATCAAGAGGTCGTGATCCTTGGTAGAAGCTGCAGAAGATCTTAGCCCATGGAAGCAAACTTTCGATCCCATCAAGTGGTCGTGATCCTTGGTAGAAGTCGCAAGAGATCGTAGCCCATGGAAGAAACCTATCGATCCCATCAAGTGGTCGTGATCCTTGTTAGAAGTCCAATTCCGTATGATCCTTGGAAGAACCTATCGATCCCATCAAATGGTCGTGATCCTTGATTGAAGTCCAATCCTGTGTGATCTTTGGAAGAAACCATCAAGTAGTCGTGATTCTTGATAGAAGTCCAATCCTGTGTGATCTTTGGAAGAAACCATCAAGTGGTCGTGATTCTTGATAGAAGTCCAATCCTGTGTGATCTTTGGAAGAAACCTATCGATCCCATCAAGTGGTCGTGATCCTTGATAGAAGCCCAATCCTGTGTGATCCGTGAAGAACCCTATCGATCCCATAATGTGGTCGTGATTCTTGGTAAAAGTCTGATCTGATTGCAAGAGATTCCTTGGGAAGAACTTGATCCTTGGAAGAACATCAATTCATTAAAAGGTCATGGCCCTTGAAAGAATCTAAATGATCCCATAAAGTGGTCGCGATTCTTAGAAGGTCCTATCAAGTATCATGATTCATGGTTGGAGTTCAATCCCGTCATTTATTTAGCATGTTAGTTATAAATTCTTTTTTTAAAAAAAAAAGCCTTTCTAACAAAAATTTCGTTGTTTAGCCTTTCTTCTGAGGTTTCTTCCAGCGATGTCATGCGTTGAAATGAATTTCATATCCTCTTGGTATGTTTAATAATTTATATGGTTTTACTTATTCTTCTAAACTCTTTTTAATATAAATTATTTCTTTGTTTACAGAATAATTTTATACATATTATCCTTAACTCAAAACTTTTACAAATTATTTTTATCATGATTTATCTTTAACTCATTTTATTTCAAATTATATTATCCTTAACGGTTTAGATGGATTCTTTCAGTTGTAAACTGATTGATCCAATTTAAGGTGATAGATAAAGAATAATTTCAGCTTGAGGCAAAAGTGCTGAAAATTATTCTTTGATCTCTTTCCAGTTTTGAGGCAAATGTTTGAGGTTACTGG